TACAGCTGACAGATATTTTTTATGGTTCGCCAGGAAGTGGTGGGTGTTTCTGTAGCCAAAGGTCCTAGATACTGTCTACAGTGTCACCACTGAGATGTAGCTGGGTATGGCTGTAGCTGCTGCTCACAACACAGGTTAAGTATACTACCACCATGCAAATACTTAGGCACCTTGAGCTACACATGTGGAATACATATAAGAATAAAAGACTAAGGGAGCAGAGTCTGCTGGAGGTTCCTATATTCAAATCAAAACTGTTTAGATATGTGGGGCTGATCTTTCTGACTGCAGGCTCCAGTCAGAGCCCCGTTCAGCTGCTTGGCATGTATGATGGGAGCTCTGGAATATGCAAGCATGACTCTGTCCAGTGCAAACAGCTCCAGCTTTGTAGTATGTACATCAGCAAATTGCATTCTCAGCTCTCACAACTATAGACAGACAGACTTGAATATCCTCCTCTTCATTATCAGCGCTGAGCTATAGTCCTGGGGCATCTCAGCCAGCTTTCTGTGGGGTTATAAACTCCCAAGGGAACAGAACTGCTTCTGGACCTTATTCCCCAGATAGAACACTACAGATGTGTTATTTGGGAGGCCCTGGAGATTGTGTCTTTTCCTCAGGTAATGTCTGGGCAGATATGGTAGCTGGGAACACACTTGACTATGGTTCCCTCTGTGACAGCACCATCAGCTTCTTTCCATCCTGATCCAGGGCACTGTTGTAGGAGGGATCAGTCTAATTGCTTTTCCAAGGGAGACCATTGTCTGTGGAAGTAACACAGTAGCCCTGCCTTCAGCCCGGGTTTAGAGACTTCCCATCTGCAGCAATTTGTCCCCTGTCAAGCCTACAGTATCTGCAAAGGCCTCCATCTGAGGAGCAAGGCTTCTTATTGATTTTTACAGCAAGCTGCTTTTTGGGCCAAACTGCTCTCAGACATGTTGGATAAATTTACCGTAATGCCACAGAAGTCACAGGAGTTGCTGCAGATTTACATCAGTGTAACAGAACACAACCCTCTTCTTTATTAGACATGGGGGGAGGGATATAAATCACTCTTACATCAGGGATTTCCTGGAGGATCTTTACACAGCAGTTGTCTGAGAGGAGACAATGTCTTTCCCTAAGGATCAAGGTTTTCAGTACTCCCAGGACATGCCAAGATCATTGTTAAAGGAGCTAAGAGGTGGGGTGTAGTGCAGGGGTGGGCAAAATGCGGCCTGGGGACCAGATGCAGCCCGCCAGCCATTCTATCCAGCCCACGGGGCCCCTAAAAATTTAGAAAATTAATATTAATCTTCCTGGGCTGCCTGTCATGCAGCCCTCAATGGCTTACCGAAACTCAGTAAGCAGCTCTCTGCCCAAAATAATTGCCCGCCCCTGGTGTAGCGGAATCATTACCGAACGTCCTATCTGTATCACTCAAGTATTAAGCAGAGGATGATGTTCTCTGGCACTCAGGCAAGGACAAAGTAGAGATGGGACACACACATAAATCAGCCCTGTAGTGATGGAAACGCAAAATGTTGCCAGTGCTGAGCACGCTTTAAAAGATTTGGATGCCGAATTGATTCAGTTAAGTAAGTGACCATATTTGCAGTTGCAGTAAGCAATCAGGAGACTGCAAACCAACCTTGAAATCTCTCTAGAACAGGTTCTTCCAAGGTTTCTAGCCCATCTCAACTCCCATCCAGTGCTAGCAGATTCCTAAAACAGTTCTGCCCCTAGTTGTGCACGGAACCACCCACATGCGAGTAACCTTCCTTGCTACGTGTGAGCCTACCTGGCTCCAGGCCCAACTCCAGAGATGTGCATGAAAATGAGCAATGGGGCACAGGGAATCCCCGTAGGATCTGTTCTGGTGAGGAGATGAGTGTTGGGGAGACGGGGCCCCGCTAACACTGCTCCCTAAAGAAGGAGCAATGTGCACCCATGTCTGGGCAGTCACAACCCTCTGATCCCAGTGGCTCCATGAACTTTGCCTGGGGCTCTACCAGCACCCAGTGCTGTAGCAAGGGCAGGGGGGAGCAGGGGGACTGCCCCAGGCACTGAAGTGAAAAAGCACCAGCAGGCACTGCCCAGCTGGGGTGGGACAGAGCTGCAAATCACTCGTTTGGGGCGGGGTGGGGGCAGGGGCGGCTCCCACTGCTGCGTGCACTCCTAGGCAAGCATGGGGGGGGGCATGTGCCCCCTTGGATCTGTGCAAGGGGCAAGGGTGGGCGGCCTCTGTGGGCTTTGCCCGGGGTGCCAATCTTCCTTGCTATGGCACTGCCAGCACTGGTGTGCCCCTCTTGTCCCCTCAGTAAGCCCCTGTCCAAACACCAGGGGGGGCTTCCATCCTTCCCTGTGACAGCCAGGAAAGGAAAAACGCAAATCACCAGCGAACCCTGCCGTGCTGGGCTGCTGTCAGCGCCCGCGTGATCGCCACAGAAGACGAGACAGCCTCCAGCGGGTCAGTCAATCCACATCCTTTCGGCCAGCAGCATCCTCAAGGCTAGCACACTGGTTAACCAGTAACCCATTCTCAGGGCAAACACGTCTCCGGTGTGCTCCCACCCCTCCAGCCGCACCCAGGCACTGAGCCCTGCTAGCCCGCAGCCAGAAGTGAGCTGGGCTCAGCAAAGCTGACGTCCTGCAGCTCGGATGAAGTGGGTCTAGAGGGTGCACACATCTACTCCGCCCTCCCCCAGGCGCAGCAGCG